TATACGTGGAGATTTGGTGCGTACAGATGATGACTGGCAAAGCTGGAAATTCCCCAATCTTATCGAAGCATTGCGACAGTGGACAGAACGGAACCAACCAAGACATGAAGACAAAACTGAGAGAAAACCAAAAGATCCTAGGGCTCGAAGCTTTCATGCAAGGGACAGAGAGGTGCAACCAAGACTGTGTGTTTATTGCAATAGTACGCAACACAAGTCAGTGAAATGCGATAAAGTTACAACTCCATCTGAGCGTAAGAAACTTTTATCCTCAAAGAAACTATGCTTCAACTGTACAGGTACCAGCCACAAAGCTTCAGCATGTCGCTGCCCATCCTTGTGTCAAATATGTCGTAAGAAACATCACACTTCTATCTGTGAAGAAAAGCCAGAACAAATTCTAGTAGCCAATGGTGACAGTTCGGTTATATATCCTGTTGTTGTAGTCAAAGTAAATGGTATCCGTTGTCGTGCACTGCTGGACACTGGAGCAGGCAGTTCATATGCATCAGCCGCCTTGCTAGATCGAATCAAAACCCGTCCAGTACGAAAAGAAGTCCGTCGCATCGAGATGATGATGCAAACCACAAGACAAGAAATCGAAGTTCACCAAGTGGATGTGACGAGTTTATCGGACCAGTTTAATCTGAGAACTGAAGTAACTAAAGTGAATCGTGGCGTGTTGCTCACCCTTGACAACCCCAACTATCCTGACCTGATAAAACAGTATCTGAATGGAGTGACCATGAATGACACAGACACCAAGCAAGAATTACCAGTACACTTAATCTTGGGAACTAGCGAATATACCAAGATTAAAACCAAGACAACCCCAAAAATCGGCAAACCTGGAGAACCTGTAGCAGAGCTGACGCAACTGGGCTGGACCGTCATGTCTCCTGGGAAGGAAGCCGACCTAACCAAGATGCTCTTAACCCAGACAACCCCTTCAGACTATGAGAACTTGTGCAGACTTGACATACTCGGGCTGAAAGATCATCCAACTGGTGACCAAAGCAATGTTTATCAAGAATTTAAAGAGCAATCAGTGAGAACGCCAAACGGTTGGTACGAGACAGGGCTTCTCTGGAAGGGGAACCATCCACCACTAGCCAGCAACAAAGAAGCGGAAGTAAAACCCCTCAAAACGGAAGTAAAACCCCTCGAAGCGGAAACAAAACCCCTCGAAGCGGAAACAAAATCCCTCCAAACAGTCGAGACAAGTTATGCGAAAGAGCAATTGGGAGTGAAACCTGGAGAAACAAGTTTACTTGGTGTGCCTTGGGACAAGGAAAAGGATACTATCAAAGTGAACTTTCCGGATTCGTTGAAAGAAATTACGAAGTGTTTTTGGGAAACATCGCCAAAATATACGATCCTCTGGGGATTGTATCACCCACAACATTACAAGGAAAACTAATCTATAGAGAAGTTTGTGATGCGCGAATGCCTTGGGACCACTGATCTAATAGTAGACTGGATATAGCTTCTCTAGGTGTGAAAAGTGAAGCCAAATTATATATGCGAAAATCACTTCCGGGGACCACGGAGTGATACAAATTACTATAGAAATGTATGGCGAACAACGTGAACCAAGGTGAATTTTCCCGAATTTGAGATACTTTGCGAAGTTTTACCAAGCTGATAGCTCCACCGTGGGTAAAAGATGTTATGTTAATGCTTTTAAAATTATCCAGATTGCCCTAAAATATCGTCAGTTTTGTTCGTTCAAAGTTGTCCATGCGGGAATAATATTTTATCGCCACAGTGGTATGACAACACAGTTTCTAGTTTGCTTTCCAATTACGGAGGCAGAATATGATCTACTATACTCAAGCATACTTTTAAAGGAAAGTTAGTAGTTCATTTTATCATTTATGTTTAACCTTGATCGACCAGAGGGTTTCAAACTTTCAATTATCCATCTTACTTAAGCCTTTTTACAAAATATATAGACATGTCTTAGTTGGTACTATAAAAGATATTTGTACTTTTAGTACTTTTTTATTTGTTATTCTGTTAAACTGGAAGGCAACCTTAATGAAGCTTTCTGTAGAGTGAATCAACTTTAATAGTGAAGTTGAATTTTGAATTAGAACAACATAATTGATTTAAAATGTGGGGTGTATTTATCATTCAATATCTAATTGAGTACAAATATAAGAACAAATATAAAATATATTCAAAGTTAATTTGAAATAATAAAACTCAACCACTGATGGACTCAACTCATTGATACCAAAGTAAAATTGTCAGGCAACTGTAGGCAGTGTGATATTCTGACAATATAGAAGATAAAATATAGTATGACATGCTTTTTTAGGTTGCCTTGCCAATTATTAATGAAATTATCTCTAATTTTTAAAAGTTTCTAATTGCCTATACTTTAAAAGCATGGTTTGTATGACCAGTTGTGCTGTTTCAACAATGTCAAGAAACCCCAGGTGACAAAACACAACATTTGAACCAAGGCATGAGAAAGTCCACTAGCATGGCAGCATGCTGCCAGGAAATTTTTTTAATCTCACAGGAAATTTTTAAGGAAAAGCCAACCTCGTCCCCAGGGTCTTCCTCGTGGTGGCGCGTGAGCTGAGGAAGACCCTGGTAAAATACGATGAAATCTCCAAGATTCTTGGAGATTTATCGCATGCGCAGTAACGACAACGTTATGTTGCTGACTACAATTAGCGCTGGCGCTTACGATTTTCTTGCTTGAAAATATACGTGTTTTGTTGATTGTTTATGCATTTATTCTCAAAGTTTTAACAAATTTTACGAAAAATACTTCAGATATAAGCTGTGAACACACATGTACACAAAACTGTGCAACATTCATCATCATATTGTATCAATTTGTCGGAGTATGGCGCTCATATTTGTGACATTGTTTTGTTCGCTTTGGCAACCCTCGTATATATCAGATGCTGTTCGGCCTCAAATGCGACTGAATAAACACTGATTGTGTTGCTTGTAATATGAAATGATATTGACTGATTGTTCTGTATATCAAGGTATGTACTGTTCATTTATACTGAATTTATTTTCACACGAGTTTCAAACTATTTCAGCCTTATGAACAATGAGATCACATCACTAACATACAGTCATACAGAAAGACTCCATATTTTCTCATCAAATCTGATTATCGTTACAAGTAACAGTAGAAATGCTTCAAAATTTATTCTGTATGTAAAGCAGGCCAGCATGTTTCATTTTGCTTTGGTGGTAGTCACCACTCACCAAGTCAAATAGGTCATTCCATTTAATAGCCCCCCTATTGAGTCTGGATATCCTATATGGGGAGTTTAGAGAGGGAGTTTTTACCTTAATTTTTTCTGGAGGGTAGCTTAAGAGATTTCCTAAAAATTAGGTGTTTTAGTGATATCCAAAGGAGCAGGAACTATATCCTAAAGGGGTAGAAGGATATTCATAGGGGTTCCAAAATTGCATCCAATGGGGTTCCAAAATTTTTAAGGTATTATGAGAGACCCCCCAATAGGTGTGGGGGCTATATTAGATGGAATGGCCCAGTGTGCTGCAACAACTTTTAAAATTTGTATATATGTTTTTAAGGCACAATATGTGATGGAGTTTGATATGATGATCAGCACAACCTGAAGGTCTTGACTGAATGAACAACTTATCTGATATACTCCTAGTTCCAATACTTTGCTGTATATTATCACCAGCTCAGATGCCAGTTGGATCACTTTGAATGAACATTGGAGTGGCACAATAAAGTGTCTGTATTAGGGAGGAGTCCATAAGGACTGAAGTAAAAGGCACACTTTTGGATATTAATTTGAATCATAGCAACTACATATACTGTAGGTTTCAAATAAGTTTGAACAATGAACAACTGAAAATAGAAATTTATTTAATTTGAAACACTTAAAGGAATTACAACATATTATATGATAGTCATATGTACATGATTAAAGGTATATTCATTAGTTTTACTAGCTGATATTTATGACCATCCTGGGACAACATTTTATTTTTCCCAAGAGATTTTACTTGCATGATAGTAATAAGTTTAATAGTAACAGAGAAGTGTGATGGATATGTGGAAGTAATTATCATTAGAAATACAAATATTAAACTGTAATTTTGACCATTGTAAATGTATTATTAAAGAAACAAAATACAAAAGTCAAACAAAGCTATTTAACATAACACAGTCATAATACTAGACTGGTTAAATAACTACTGCCAATAGAGGGATCATGAAAATCTTCTAAGATTACTATCATATAGCTCTGTAACAGGGACCTGCTTTAAAGAAAATATAGGGAAGAGAAAATCGAAATAACAGTTGTATTGTATATGGAAAACAGAATAAAATCTTTCTAAGCATTTCTACTGTTATCATAATTTTATTAACTGATGAGATAATATGAAGTCTTTCAGTATGTTAAAAACTGTGATTTCTGAAGAAGTCTTTCTGCATGTGTGAAATGAAGTCTTTCTGTATGTGTGAAACTGTGTTAGAAAATGTGATTTCCGAGACTCTGAGAAAATGTGAAAGCAACGTGTGAAAATAAATCGAATAAATTCAGTATAAATGTACAGTATACATACCTTGATATACAGTACAATCAATCAATATCATTTCATATTCCAGGCAACACTATCAGTGTTTTATATTCAGTCGCATTATAATTTGAAGCCGAATAGCATCTGATATATACGAGGGTTGCCAAAGCGAACAAAACAATGTCACAAATATGAGCGCCATACTCCGACAAATTGATACAATATGATGATGAATGTTGCATAGTTTTGTGTACATGTGTGTTCACAGCTTATATCTGAAGTATTTTTCGGAAAATTTGTTAAAACTTTGAGAATAAATACATAAACAATCAACAAAACATGTATATTTTTAAACAAGAAAATCGTAAGCGCCAGCGCTAATTGTAGTCAGCAACATAACGTTGTCGTTACTGCGCATGCGATAAATCTCCAAGAATCTTGGAGATTTCATCGTATTTTACCAGGGTCTTCCTCAGCTCACGCGCCACCACGAGGAAGACCCTGGGGACGAGGTTGATTAAGTACACGCCTTTGAATAAACATAATCTTGGCATGATCATTCATTTCAAATTCTTAGATATAGTACGGTACTGGAAGCCGCCATACGACCACCTCGTTAATACGACCACCCCGATAATACGACCACTTTTCATTCAGTCCCCAAACAACACCTAAGTATTTTTCTCATCTGAAGACCCCGTTAATACGACGCGTCGTTAATACGACCAGCGACCACCTTTTGATGTCTCCAACTCTTTAATAGTACGACCACTCAATATACTAAACAATGTCCCGTTGGTCGTCATAGTCATAGTATGAGATAATTATAATATAATTATAGCACAATTGAACAGTAAATTGGATTACATGCGGCTAAAAGAAAGTGTAAACTTGACAAAGCGTTTTTCAAAGATGTTAAAAAACATTGGCGGCACAAATGTTAAACAACGTCTGTGCCGTAATTTGATCCGACGGGATTAATACGTTAATACGACTAAAATTTTTGGGCGAACGGTAGTCGTATTAACGGGGTTCCACTCTACTTCCAGAAATTTCTAGGTAGAAACCTTTTCTACTAAAGTATGATCCAATACGATGGCAATAGTCGCATGCAATAGTTATACTGTATGTGTCCGCATCTTTCAAAGATGGTGTGTTAATTCCCATTGAATCACATTTCCCGCAATAACCTATACGCGCATTAATTATTTCCTTGAGTGCCATTTCATAGTGAGTGTTCTCTTGAAACAACACAGTGCATTTAATAAAAGTAATACAGTACATTTAATAATACAGTACATTTCCGGTACATTCGTTGTTTCTCCGGAAATAAAATTATTTAACGTCAATTACATTACCATGACTCTGTTTCCATCACGAAAACATGAGGAAAAAGTTTTTTAACTTAAGTGCATTATCTCTCTCACTAAGGGCTTGCTCATATATGAGTCCGCGTATGGGAGATTAAATATGAAATTACTTAAAGTGCTTATGAAACGAAATTTTTGCTCATTTTTTATTGTTTTATTAAAAGGTATTTTATTCGAATCTCATCTCATCTCATTCCCAAGTTATCGCACTTTGTATATTTTGAGTTGTGACGTCACAAGAAGGACTTGAAATAATGACAATAACAAGAAAGTCTAATATCTTGGTGACCGTTTAATAAAATTCAATGAAACTTGGCACACTTAGTGGGTGTACCAAAGTCAACAATTTGGGTTGTTTATATGGTTGTCATGGCAACACACTCGTCCCCAGTCCCTTCTCTTCCAATTTCTATGTGATCCATTTCCAACGAAATAAATAGCAATTTCTGCAATTTTCGCACATTAGTATAATACGTGTAGGTATTGTGATCAGTTTAAACCGTTGTAACATGCAAACAACCTCTGCCAGAGGTCTGCAGGAGGACATTGGTAAAAAAGAAGAGAAGAGACTGGGGACTAGTCTGTTGCCATGGCAACAACATGACCTTCCAAAAATATTCATATGGGTGCACCATTAAGTGTGCCAAGTTTGATTGAATTTTATTAAATACTCACCAAGATATCAGACTTTCTTGTTATTGCCATTATCTCAAGTCCTTCTTGTGACGTCACAACTCAAAATATACAAAGTGCGATAACTTGGGAATGAGATGAGAAACGAATAAACTGTAAACGTCATTCTTCATCATTTGAGCAGTACCTTTTAATAAAACAATAAAAAATGAGGCAAAAATTTCGTTTCATAAGCACTTTAATTAAAATTTAAATAATAAAGTGCCCTCATTTTTATGCGGCATTATTTCAAACTCTTAAGACACAAAGAGAAGAAAGTCCAGTATCTTAGAAGGATTCAACGATATAAAATAAAATTTGGGATAGTTAATAAGTGCACCTAATCAAACATGTTGAAGTGTTTGTGTTGTTGTCATAGCAACACAATAGTTACTAAGTCTTCTCTCTTTTTGTTTTCGTCGCTAAAAAACACTTTGCATAACAATATCCAGAGGCATAGCCGTACGGGGAGAAAAAAAATGGAGGGCGGCCGCAAATTTCGTTGTATTTTAGTCCCGAAATTCCTGTCGGAGGAAGTCAAAAATTTCCAATTTGTATTCATCACGACTTCGTCAGACGGCATTTAGGACATAATTATGTAACAATATGTAACTGCTTTGCAAACTTTCTGTAGATGTAATATAGCAGGAGAAATATAAATTCAAGTGTGAAGTCCAAAGTGCTGAAGTAGGCACCCAGCTTTCGTTCGTATTTCCACAAATTATATAACTTTATCCTATTGTAATGTGTTCTATTTTAAACTTGCTGTTGGCAGGGTGTGATATTGAACTTGTACACTCGTGACGTCAAGTGGGGTAAAGTGAACTTCATTGCTTTTCAAAGTTTGCGAAGCATCTTTTGACATTCAAGAACATCTTTAATTCCCACTAAGTGTTTTAAATTGAGTTTTCTGCACTCATGTCACGCACCAAATAGTATAAAAGATGCGGTCATCACCAATTAAACACATTCTGTTTCAGACTTTAATTATACTGGTGGAGAGATTTCAAAGTCTAATCAAGAAGTAGAGAAGATAAGTGAACATGTTCAAATTGTTTTTCTTATTGGTGCTGTTTATTGGAGCGTTGAGTGAGTTGGTATATTTGCAGTAGGTTTAACAATTACTCTAGAAAACAATTACTATAAATTAGCATTTCTACAAAATGTTAAATACTCATTTCAAAAAAGAAAAAGTACTCATGTTGTAAGGCAAACTGTTATTAGTTTTATTAAGAATAATCTACTCAGGGACGTAGTAAGGATTTAGGGTGTATGGGTCAAATTACCTGATTTTTTCAATTACGTTCTACCATAAATATGATGGCAGAACAGAGTTTTTTAGGGGAGGGTTAATTTTCTGTAAAGTTGGACACCATAGTTTACAGCTAGATTAAAACACAGCGTGCAAAACATGATCTAACTGTCACGGCGGTAGTGTAGGAAGATATTTAATGTTAAAACTAAAGGACTGAAAACTTGGGGATCTGGGGGTCAGGGCCTATCAGATAAATTCGGGGGCCCCTATTTTTCCCAACTATGTTGGTTGGCAAGTGGGAGGAGGGGGGTGTTAAAAAAATTTTTCCAGAGGTTAAATAAGGGTCAAAAAAAATTTCCGGACAAACGCAAGTTAAACTAGAGGGCACTCAGAGACTGCATACCTCCGCCCGTTACTCGGAAGTGAAACGCAACCTTGGAATTTCCTAAGTAATCCACTTTATAATTCTTAAGCATAAAAGATTTCAGGCCCTAGCGTATTGAAATCGAATTGCTAATAGAACATATTACTGTTGTTGTACTGTACAGTACTTGTAAAATAAAAACTTTTTAAGTGTCATTAAATAAATGCACAAATTTTGCTTTATGCACTCGCGCGTGCAGTAATTTTCACAGTTGTGCTATTTTAAATTCCCAGGCAGCTAAAATCTTTTGTCTTTAAAACAATGTCGATTTCTTGGGAAATTCCGAGGTTGCCTTCTTTTTATACACCCTGTATTGAAGTAATCTAATGTTGTTAGAATTTGAATGGACTGGCACTTTGCTGAACGTAATAATGCGTAACTCCGTAAGCCTTGTTTTAGACATTGAATTTCGGTCGCGTGAAATGCAACTAAGACAATAGATAATGAAGGCCGAAGCTTAATGAGGTTTATCATCTCATTACTGTCTTAGCACTGAGTGCATAAATTATACACGTCCTAATTACGCATTCAGTAATATATTTTTTGTTAATTGACCGGGAAAAGCAAGACAAAATTTTGTTCATTTCTCGTTCAATTTTTAACCAAATTCAACCAAATTTTAATCAGTTCTTCCTTAGCCGATGGGAAATGCATTCAAAAAATTTCGTACGGATATGTTTGGTATTTCTTGAGTTATCGTGCTCACAGACAAACACACACACATACACACACACACACACACATACACACACACATACACACACACATACACACACACACACACACACATACAAACCCAGATGATTACATAACCTCCTGGCGGAGGTAATTAAAGTGCTTATGTCACAAAAATTGTTTTTTGATATTTGGTAGAGGACAAAAAGTTAGTTAATAGGTTCTTTAACATTTTTCGGTTTTATCTTTTCATTCGCGAGATATGAGGCTCTAAACCTTGAAAAATTGGCTTTTAGCGAAAAATTGTCGCGCCCGAGAAAAAAACGGAAAAGGGTCTGGGGCGAGAGCCGTGTGACGTAGCTTAAGGGACGGAAGTTCGAATTCACATGTGAAGGAGTACTAAAAAGCTATTGGGAAGACATATGTTTTCCAGCACTCATGGTTCTCAATGTGACTCAGAATACAATTATATTCCTGGGTATATTATACAGGATGAACCAAATGATACTAGTCACAATTGGAACTCTAGAAGCAGTTTCTTTAGGCGATTATAATGCATATTGGTGATATTGCCTTTATGCCGATGAGCCGTTAGCGAGCCGCCGAGCGGCCCGAGCCAAGAATGCTACGCGCGCGATATCTAAAACTATGCGGAACACAAGGAACAAAACGTTAGAACGAAGATTAGACGGCCCTGAAGATATTAAAATCATGGTGAGCGTAAGCATAGATTTATTTAACATTTTAACGTAAAATAAGTATCTCGGGTGATATATTTTTTATACGGCATCAGTCACACCAAACACACTTCCCTCACCTGTATCATATTTCACAAGTGTAAATGCGGCGATTGTGCGATAATATACATACTGTATACAATATACCACACACGCTGGAATCTTGTAGGGAAGCTCTGAAGGATAACTTGGTTTTAGAAGATGTGCCACAGCCGCCGTGCTGTATCACTCTACACTGGGGATTCAGGCCCATTTGTTTGGAAAAATGGGCTCTATGAAAACTTGCGAGAAAATACAATCGTTCGTATTAAATAAACGTGATCACAGATAAACACTGTAGCTTCAAACAAGAATACGTACGTAATTTGCTCTGAACCAGTCTGTTTATATTTTCTTTGATCTCATGTCTTGCATTTTCTTGCGAAGGTGAGGGAAGTGTGGTTTTAACTCTTGGATGTGACTGATGCCGTATGAGCCCGTATCCAGGCAAAATATATCAGCCAGAGATATGTACTTATTTTACGTTACAATGTTAAAATAAATCTGTTTACACTCACCATAATTTAATATCTTCAAGGCTATCTAATCTTCGCTGTACATCTCGTTTTGTTGCTTGTGTTTTGTTGATTTTTTTAGATATCGTGCGAACCATTCTTCGCCGGCTAGCGGTTCATTGGCATAAAGGCGTGCATCATAATCGCCTAAAATTTTGCTATCAACTGCTTCTAGAGTTCCAATTTCGTGACTAGTATCATTTGATTCATCCTCTATAATATATCCAGGAATATAATTGTATTCTGAGTCACATTGAGAACTATGAGTGCTTTCCGAATCTGAGCTACTGCCTGACATGCTGGAAAATATATCAAATGTATAATGCGTGTCGAAATTAAGTCCCTTAAGCTACGTCACACCACGCTCGTCCCAGACTCTTGTTGATACGCGACAATTTTACGAAAATCGCTGTTTAGAGCCTAGTATCTCGCGAATGAACAGAGAAAACCGAAAAATGTTAAAGAACCTATTAACTAACTTTTTGTCCTCTACCAAATATCAAAAAAAAATTTTTGTGACATAAGCACTTAAGGGTCAAAACATTTTTCAGGTCAAATTCCTGTTAAAACATGAGTAAAACCCAATTTTTTCGGACCTTTATCTGTAAAATGTAGGTCTACCATTATTTATATCAAAAAACGTTCCAAATTATTTTTTAATTTTACAAATTTTGGGATCCCTTAAACTGTGGGCCCAAGGCAAATTACCCCCTTTGCCCCCCCCCCCCCTTTTTAAGGCCCTGCTGAGGGCATGCTGCCGCGCACTTTCTGGCATGCAACAAAATTGCTTCATAATTGGACTACCCTGCATAGTTGAACTACCCTGGATAAACACAATACAAGTACATAAACACAATACATGCAAGGAATGCACCCAAACTTCCAAACCATTATGTCAAACATTCTCGGTCGCTAATTATGTTAATTCTCTTTACAATAATGGTGCAGATATCTGGAATGAGCTAAAGCCTGATTTAAAAAATATAAAATCCTATAATATATTAAAGAAAAAATAAATTTCTGCAGTTGCATACGGAAATATAGATAGGAGAGACTCTATTTCCCTAAGGGTTCTGGGGCCGGTTGTTCGAAAGGCGTTTAATTAACTCGCTAACCACCGTTTAACTCGCTATCCGCTGGATAAGATTCAAACGCTCCAGAAATCGCGTTGTTCGAAGCCCGTTTAACGTTATCCACCGGTTAAATTTCACCTATTCAGTGGATAAGTTAAACGGTCTTGAAAATAACCACTGTTGTTACTAGTCTCCTGTTGGTATTGTAATTACAATGAGAGACAAGTACTCAGTGGCGGCGTAGCAAACTCGGTAATTGGGTGGGGGAAATATTTATATATTCGTGTTCACAGAGTTTAAAAACAATTGATTTTAAAAGAAATTAAAGATGTAGAGCACGAATATATGAATATTGGCTTCCCCAATTATCGTGTTTGCTAAGCCACTGCATGTACTAGTTATTTACTTTCTTTGATGGTTCAAGGATACCAAAATTTATGGTAACCAATATCCCCAAGTGGGATACTGGATTATCAGGCCCAATACTAAAACTTTGAATCCCGGCATTCCAGAGCGACACCGAAAAATTAAAAATTCGGACGTTGTTATTATTAATTATTAAGCCAATGGCATGGCGCTATTATCTTGTGAATCACAATGTATACGTCTAACTACGGCCCTCGATCTTCTTTCTTCCCAGAACTGATCCACAATAGTTTTTGAGATCCTATAAGAACAAAATTCATATTTCTTATTTAAAATTTTTAAAAAATACTGTATATATTTTTCCACAGCACTGAAGGATGAACAAACGATTGATTCGTCAATGCTTTCCGATGAAATCAGCAATGATGAAGAAATTGAAATGAATCTTGACGCTGAAGATGAAATTCTGCAGGAGGAAATTGAAAAAGCCATTTTAGGTATTGTGGTGAAGTATTCTTGGCTTTTACCCGGATGACAAGTTTGTTTAATTAAAGCTTTTTGTCCGAAATTTAATGAAAGTCTTAATTAAAGCTTCTACAGTATTAAAATGTAAATTTATTTTTATATAGACGGAAGCAATGACGCTCCCATAGAGAAACGTCAAATTGGTAAATTATTATTCTCCGTATTACTAGCAGTAATTATATCCAATACAAACTGCAGAGTCTCAGTACTTGAATAGTTTTGAATGAAAGCTGGCAAGGTTTGTCTACACACGTAAAATTTCCGCACAACTTGTCAGCAAGATGCGTTTGCAACAGGCTTGTACAGCAAGCTTGTCAACAAGTTGTAGCAATGTTTTAATTTTATCATGTTGCTACAAGGTTGTCACTCACAGCTTGTTGACAAATTGGTGAATAGCAAGACAATAACAAGTTGTTGGAACAACCTGCACCAAGTCTGTTGAGCTCAACAACCTTGTAGCAAGTTGTCAACAAGCTGGGAACAAGCAGTGCGGAGACATCGTGTTGACAAGTTACTGGAACAGCATTGCTACAAGTCTTCTGCAGTTTTGTTGCAATAGACCTTATACCGTTTATTGACTTTTCACTCAATGGCCTCGTTTTCGTGTCAAATACTTACTCATGTTTTGTGCTTAGTAGGGTTGAAAATTACTTTGTTATTGAGCCTAAGAACAGCAAGAAACAAATTCGTCCAGGAAAACATGGGAATATAATCTTTATCTGCCCCTGACATGCTAAAATAAGTTAACATGCAAACGAGGCCATTGGGTAAAAGAGAATAATCGGTAAGGTCTATTTGTGCGTTTTCACGTATGTACTTGGAGGTCTGAATTAGAACTTACCAGTATTACTTCAAAGCATCTAAACTCATTAAATGTTTCCGCTTTGAGTACTTGATTAGAACAAGATCACACCCACTCAGCCAATCAAAACTCGGTATTTCAGCGGTCTATATCCTATATACTGTCTCACAGCGAGCTTCATAGCAAACACCGCAGTATAACTCATTAGTACGTTCTATACAGTATGGTCATCGAACATACTAATGAAACATTCAACAGAAGATAAACAAAGCAAAACAAAGCCTTGTTAGTAATGATGCTCTATATAGAGCATACTGGTCGGATATAGAGCATATTTATCAGTTCAATTAACTCACTGCGAGTATTAATCGATAAAAACACAATAAAAAATACTTCCAAAAATATAAAGAAAGAAATAACTCTTCGTCAATGGTCGGCCCTCGTGGCCATCTAACTAATTCTCGAGAATCTATATCCCACTGAACACACGTGATCATACATTGCCTATCCTATAAAAGGGTATAATTTTGGAATTTTGTATCAGAAGATGAAAATTATAACATGATTAGAACATGATTTCCAGTTGAGGTTAGATAAAGATTTCCAAGACAACCAGCCTATGGATTTTGTATGTTAAGTACTTGTCACAATGACCAGGCTATTAGTAAAACACGGAGCACGGAGCACGGAGCACACGGAGCACACGGAGCACGGAGCACACGGAGTACGGAGCACACGGAGCACGGAGCACACGGAGCACGGAGCACCGGAGCACA